GCAACAAAGTAGCTTAATATAATGGGTTTTATTAAAAATGTAAATAGAGCTTTTCATCATTTATTAGATACTACTTTTAACATATTATATGGCGATTAATCCTTTTAGTATTGGATGGGTAATAATATACATATATATATATATATAGTCCTATAGAGGCCTATAGTTTTAATAAGGATTTCACAATTTGTTGCGCGGTTAATTTGCTTAAACCCTTAGTTACAGAGATATTCGTATATTTATTTATTTATTCAAATAATGAATATAGGTCACTGTATGGTTTTGGAGTCCTCAAGTGTGTTTCTATTCAATTTCAGTTGTGAAGTGCTATGAGAAAAATATTTACTTGAAATGCACTTCAGAATTCGTTCTTTTATACTAGGTTGAATTCTGCCAGACTTAATTTATTTTTGCTATGAATAAAAGATGGCTTGTCCCCGGCACATAATTTCTTGTATATGCTTAAGCTCATTACAAATAATTGTATTCATATTTCTGCTTATAGAATGGTGTAGACCTACTGGAGAACGTTGATGCGTATGCGATTGTCTACGCAATAGATGATCTTGAGTCATTTGAATTTGCGCGCCGTATCCTCGCCCTATTGGTTACACACGTGGTGCCTGATCTACATAGTGGAATTGGCGGGTTGGCAAGCTATGGCTCTCCTTCCATCTCTGTTCTTGGCTCCTCCAGCTGTCCTGTAACCGGCGGAACAGGCAGCAGTGTTGGTTGTGGTGGAGGTGGTGGTGGTGGGGTTGCTGGCGGAGTGAGCGTAAGTCTTCGGGCCGCGGTTTCATCCCGCAATAGCAGTGGCGGAGGTGGAGGTGTTGGTGCTGGTGGACCAGGGAACAATAAACTGGGCACCAATATTTTTCTAGTTGCCAACAAGTCAGACTTGGTTCGAGGGCGACAAGTGAGCCAAGAAGGCAAGTGTAGGATTGATTGGTAATGCAACTTCATCATCTTGGATTCATACTAATTATTTGGACCGATATTTTTTTGAAAATGTTTAGCCGTTCATATATTTGTTGATTTTATTAATATTGAAAATAAGTACCGACCCCATTTCATCGCTCAACAAATAAATGTAAATTAATTCTATTTATGAGTAATAGATAGAGAACAAATAAATGCCAAACAACATAGCGTATTCAATATTTTGTGTTCACCTCTTCATAACCTCGTACTACACTCTGCATCAA